AGACAGACAGACAGACAGACAGACAGACAGACAGACAGACAGACAGACAGACAGAGTGAATGAGATAGTGAGAAGGAAAAAGACATACAGAGAGAGATGTTTTAGAATCTTTTCTTTCTCCTTGCAGTATACCAACTTTTCCTTTTAGAAACCAACAACACATAGATCTGGTTGCTACAAAGGTGGACCACAAATCCCTCCTCCGATACCCTGTTTACTGCTATAAATCCCAAAGTCAATGGACTCGAGGACCAACGACTCTGGTGTAGCGGTTAAAGGGTCTTTGCAACTGCTCGCAGAAGACATTAGTTCGATAACCGAAAAGACAGACTGTTTATGAAGTAATGCATTCTGATGCGATATTGCATCCCGTCCTTATTATTTATTCTCCCCAGTATACTTTTATCAGAACTGGTGGCTGGTAAGCAAGACAATATTCGACTAGACTCTGTGTCAAAACATGAACTTCCACAAACTTGTCAAATTGAAAACATGCTAAGACACTACAGTATAACATAATGTGCTTTTTTGGGACTGGTTATTCAATTATAACAGCAGAAAATTCAAATACACAGATTTTACAAGAAAATCTTTGTTTTTACTTTAGAAACGGACAAATTTATTTAGACGAAGCTGGGCTCTTTAGAACGTTTCGTCAAAGAACGGTCCCTTAATCAGTATTATTGTTATAAATATTAGTATTATTATGTCCGAGCGATACTTAGAAACAGCTTTGGTTAGTCCTACATCTTCCATGGATGGATTTTCGAATTCTTCGGGATCTCAGGCGTGGTTGTATACTTTTTGGAATTCTCTGATTTATTCAGATACGACGCTGGGCTACTTTGGGATGTTCTGTATCTACGCCACTACACCTTTCTGTAAAGTTTGGGTCTGTGACATTTAGGCGACTGATTCCATTGCCTTCCGTTTCTTCAGCATCTAGATGAGGCTGTTGTATTGTAGTAGCTTTTCGTGATGACGTCTATTGAGTTTATTAGCACTCATTGTCCGTCATCTGCCGAGTACGGTGATTTCAACCCAAACATCGGCCGCAATCAATGTAGTTTACCTGTGAATAAACGAATGAAAAATAATAAATTATGTGTAGTTTTTTTTCATTTTGATTTGGAAATAAAACAAATCAAATCTTGAAAGGCTAAAGAAGTACAACGCATTAGATTATCGATAGAATCTCCTATCACGTCGATCTTTGGGCTCACACATGCATCTACAGGTCTTAATCAAGGATATGAATACACATGTATTTAACAAGAGAACTAAAAAAAAAAAAAAAAGGACACCGTTTGCATCCTATGGAATGTGCATGTACTCTTAAAACGAGAGCCCCTAAGTAAAACAAAGTCTAAAGATAGAATCGAACATCCACTCGTAACTTTACTTCTTTTTTTATTTCACACTTCCCTTTTAAAGGGGCGGTTTAGCCCAAATATTCAAAAGGATTGTGCATTTTGTGATACAAGCACCAAATTTGGCACAAATGTACATTAATATAAAATAGACACTTTCAGATATTGAGCCACTAGGAATTCTCTCTTTATGTCCGCCATATTGGATTTCAAAATGGCCGCCATTTGAAATTTATATTTGCGATTTTCTCTGGGTTAAATGCTGCTATTGACTTCATTTGGGAGTCTAAATGTATGTTTTTTTGGGTCAATGAATCCAATGATATCTATTTCACAATCCAATGCACAATCTAATGCACAATTCTAATGCACAAATCTAAACCAAAAGAACAAATATAAAATTCTAATGCTTGAATCTAATCCAATGAACAATTCAATGAACAATCCAACGGCATCATTTTCAACGTAATGTTATCTTTCACACTCTGTTATATAAACTGATCTTGGAAAATGTTAGTTTGAACACGACACTTTGAAAAGAATGATCATATGAAAGTATGTTGATTGATTGATTGCTTGATTGAGTAGGAGTTTCACGGCACTATCGACTCATATTTGAAAGCATATTAAATGGGTGTAAAAGTCTTAAGTCTGTAAATGTCTTAGGTACAATTCTGACATGCTACATGGTCTAATTTCTGAGGCTAGGTGTATACCCTCATTCTTCAATGGTCTGAAGCTAGTTAGACATCGGTACTGGAGATACGTTTACATAAACAGTGTCATGTTAACAAGTTCAGCACTGCCACAAGTACATGTATGTTGTGGACTCATCGCCATGTGCAGTCCCCTTCACACACAGAGGACAGCTTTCTTGCATTTGCAGAGCCTCACACCATAAATGGCACTTTAAAACCCCCCAGCTCAAAACAGCTGCGAGCTGCCTCATGTAGCCTGGTCAAGTATGGTGTGCACTGTCCTCCAGTCATTGATCAACCTCAGTTGGTTGGTGGAGGGAGCTCTGGTGCTGGCAAAAGTATCTGACCCCACACATGTCCACCTTGATACACTCCACTCTTGATGTGTTCCTCTAAAGCTGCCTTCGTCGGGGGGATCAGCTGCACATCGTTCTTCCTTGTGAAGAGTTTCCTCCTGGGGTCGGAGACTTCTTCCTAGCATGTGATGAGATCATTCTTGGTACAAGTGAAGAAGTTCCCACCTGCAGACAGTACAGGAGGACATGCCTGGTTGTCGTGACGAAAGAACTCCTCAAGGTTTCCATCCCTCGTCTGCCAGCCAATGTACAGGCGTGCGACGAGTTCACGATCATTTTTGACGGAGGCGAGCTGTTGCTAACATATGCTCTTGTTTCTGGGAGTGGAAGTGTTAGAATCTAAACACCTTCAGCTTGTTACAAGGAATGGGGTCGTCCACTGCCTTTGTTCTGTCCAACAGACATTCTCTGGTGAAAGCCTCGGACTGTTTTTGGTCAATCCTCTTGGTATTCATCCCCGTCTCCACGGCAGCAGGACCTGCGATGTCCTTTGAGTCCAGTATGACTCTCCTCCTCGAATGGGGTGTTCATCTCCTCTATGACACCGACGAGAGGGCGAACATCTTTCACAAATGAGGCCTGTACACTTGGCGTCTGATCATGTGACGTGTGTCTGCTGTTTGCCGTCTCCAGTATTGGTTCCCGTCCTGGAATTCTTCGACCACCCTAGCAATTTCTGGTCTTGCAACCACCCAGCGACGAAGGGCTTTAGGATTGTCAGTGAGCCCAACTGCGCCGCCGTTTCCTTTGATGTAGGCATTATTCTGCTAATGTGCCTGGTCAATCGGGATTGAAGAGAACACCCTCTGAGTTTTCTCAACTCTGAAATGGCCTTCACTGAATTTCCCGGCTACGTCTGGGTGTTTGGTAGTGAGTTCGGCGATGTTCTTCAGGTGCACTGGTATCCACCTAGCATAGTGGGTATGATCTAACGCAATGCAGATTGTTACCGTTTGATTCCTTGACCCCCCCCCCTCCCCAAAAAATACATTTAAACACCAAAATGAAGTCAATAGCAGCATTTGATGCAGAGATAATAGCAAATTTAGATTTCAATTGGCGGCCATTTTGAAATCCAATATGGCGGACATTAAGAGAGAAATCCGAGTGGCCCAATATCTGAAAATGTTTGCAATATGCTAATGTACATATGTGTCAAATTTGGTGCTTGTATCACAAAATGCACAATAGGTTTGCTAAGCGCCCCACTATTTTCACTCTCTTCCATATTATCCTTCAAAATCGTCTTTTACACTCATTATCTGACACACCACCTTAATGCACTCACTAGAGACTCAACAGTTTTTGACAGTTTTGTGAGTGCACTGATAGTCATAACATGAAACACTGTAATCCTCCCCCCTCCCACCTCACCCCCCCCCCCCCCTGACAAAAAAAATATATGTAAAATTAAATCAAAGTAAAAGTAAAGTCTTAATTTATAAATAAAATAATAATCTTAACGAATAAACAACTAAATCCGTAAATAAAACTTCAACCTATAGCAAATCGCAAAAAAAAAACCCAAAAAAACTGGGAATAAAAGATTTTTCTCAACATATCCAATCCTTCCAGAACACGTTGCCGACTTCTCTACGGTAATAGTGAAAGAAAGTGAGACAGACAGACAGGCAGATAGATAGATAGATAGATAGATAGATAGATAGATAGATAGATAGATAGATAGATAGATAGATAGATAGATAGATAGATAGATAGATAGATAGATAGATAGATAGATAGACAGATAGACAGATAGATAGACAGACATAGACAGAGCGAGAGAGAGAGAGAGAGAGAGAGAGAGAGAGAGAGAGAGAGAGAGAGAGAGAGAGAGAGAGAGAGAGAGAGAGAGAGAGGGTGGGGGTGGGAGGGAGGAAGAAGAGAGAAATGATCGTTATTACAGCCGTTTCCCCCCAGCTGGTGGGGGGCCCTGTAGTTTTACTATGGGGGAGCAAAGAATACACCTTGCGTGATACTGTGTGTCGTAAGGGTCGACTAAAAGTGCATAGGTATGGTGGCCCGAAAAGTGCCAGTTTGCGGAGGGACAACTACCCAACCCAGTAAAAAACAGTAAGTTACAGAAACACGGACAAACACAGCTTTTTATCTTTCGATCTTGGGAGACGGAGGAGCTTCTGCATCAGCAGGAACAATGAAGGACAGCGGACAAAGCCGAAAGGACTCTACTGACCCGAAACCTTCTCTGTCGAACAAGTCTCTCCGGATTGCGTCGTGGGATGTTGGCACCTTGTATTAAACAGGAAAGATTTCTCAAGTAGTACAAGAGATGAAGAGATACGGGCTGCACATACTAGGGGTCAGCGAAACACACTGGACACAGTCTGGACAGAAGCAGCTCAGCTCGGGGGAACAAGTATTGTATTCTGGGAGGGAAGACAGGTAGGCTACCATGCGGAAGGAGTGGGAATCATTTTGAGTAAGTATGCACAGAAGTCACTTAGAGGATGGGAACCACACGGGGAAAAGATCATCATGGCTTCATTCACTTCAAGGAGCAAGAGCATCAACATGAATATAGTACAGATCTACGCCACAACAAATGATGCTTCGGATGAAGACAAGGATGCCTTTTACAGCCAGCTCCAGGGGGTCATCGATAAACTGCCAAGGAAGGATGTCAACATCATAATGGGAGATGCCAATGCCAAGATTGGTCAGGACAGCATGGGGTATGAAAGAATTATGGGACAACATGGCTTGGGACTAATGAATGAGAACGGGGAGCGATTCGCAAATATATGTGCTTTCAACAGTTTTGTTATTGGAGGCTCTGTTTTTCCCCACAAGAGGATCCACAAGGCCACATGGGTTTCGCCAGATGGAGTGACGGAGAACCAGATAGATCATTTTTGTATCTCTCGTAAGTTCAGGCGTTCACTGGAAGGTGTCAAAGTACAGAGAGGGGCAGATGTTGGATCGGATCATCATCTGTTGTTGGGAAAACTCAAGCTTCGACTCAAAAAGCACGGAACCAGCACAGGAATCAAAAGAACCAAGTTCCAAGTAAGTGTCTTGGACGGACACAGGAGAGAAGAGTTTCAGATGCCGCTGAGTAACAGATTTCAACCTCTGGCTGATCTTGGCAGTGAGGACACGGAGGTGGATACACACTGGACCAAGGTCAAAAAAGTCTTTACATCAACGTGTCAAAAAAAATACTCGGTGGGAAGAAATGGGAGCACAAGGAATGGATTAGCCAACACTCATTGGATTTAATTAGGATAAGAAGACAGGTGAAGGCAGAAAGCGAATGCAAGTAGAACAAGAGGATCAAGAGCGGATGCATTGGAGCAGTACAGGATAACAGCTAAAGATGTGAAAAAATCAATAAGAAAAGACAAGGAGGAATTCATGAACAGGCTAGCAGAGAAGGCAGAGGAAACAGCGATAGGAGGGCACATGCGAATCCTTTACCAGACCACAAGGACACTTGCTGGAAAATATCTCATTCGCTACGCCGAGCCGTGGGGGGCGGCGCGGCTAGAGTGCCGTCAGTACGCTTAGCCGCCCCCTTCGGCTCGAGAACTGACGTTCAATTTTAGCCTGGTTTTTATTCCAATCCACATATCCATGTTAAAATAAAAGTCATAGTTCCCACCTGCAGACAGTACAGGAGGACATGCCTGGTTGTCGTGACGAAAGAACTCCTCAAGGTTTCCATCCCTCGTCTGCCAGCCAATGTACAGGCGTGCGACGAGTTCACGATCATTTTTGACGGAGGCGAGCTGTTGCTAACATATGCTCTTGTTTCTGGGAGTGGAAGTGTTAGAATCTAAACACCTTCAGCTTGTTACAAGGAATGGGGTCGTCCACCGCCTTTGTTCTGTCCAACAGACATTCTCTGGTGAAAGCCTCGGACTGTTTTTGGTCAATCCTCTTGGTATTCATCCCCGTCTCCACGGCAGCAGGACCTGCGATGTCCTTTGAGTCCAGTATGACTCTCCTCCTCGAATGGGGTGCTCATCTCCTCTATGACACCGACGAGAGGGCGAACATCTTTCACAAATGAGGCCTGTACACTTGGCGTCTGATCATGTGACGTGTGTCTGCTGTTTGCCGTCTCCAGTATTGGTTCCCGTCCTGGAATTCTTCGACCACCCTAGCAATTTCTGGTCTTGCAACCACCCAGCGACGAAGGGCTTTAGGATTGTCAGTGAGCCCAACTGCGCCGCCGTTTCCTTTGATGTAGGCATTATTCTGCTAATGTGCCTGGTCAATCGGGATTGAAGAGAACACCCTCTGAGTTTTCTCAACTCTGAAATGGCCTTCACTGAATTTCCCGGCTACGTCTGGGTGTTTGGTAGTGAGTTCGGCGATGTTCTTCAGGTGCACTGGTATCCACCTAGCATAGTGGGTATGATCTAACGCAATGCAGATTGTTACCGTTTGATTCCTTGACCCCCCCTCCCCAAAAAATACATTTAAACACCAAAATGAAGTCAATAGCAGCATTTGATGCAGAGATAATAGCAAATTTAGATTTCAATTGGCGGCCATTTTGAAATCCAATATGGCGGACATTAAGAGAGAAATCCGAGTGGCCCAATATCTGAAAATGTTTGCAATATGCTAATGTACATATGTGTCAAATTTGGTGCTTGTATCACAAAATGCACAATAGGTTTGCTAAGCGCCCCACTATTTTCACTCTCTTCCATATTATCCTTCAAAATCGTCTTTTACACTCATTATCTGACACACCACCTTAATGCACTCACTAGAGACTCAACAGTTTTTGACAGTTTTGTGAGTGCACTGATAGTCATAACATGAAACACTGTAATCCTCCCCCCTCCCACCCCAC